AGCTTAGGGGTGACATATAGGGATAGCTCTTGGTACACCAACCCTCAAAGTCATCCAATACACCTTGATCGTTGCCATAGAAAGAGATGTCGCCTATACCATACATCGGGTGTATTGGTATGCTTGCCTCTTGCCAACGGTTTGTTTGCGCTCCGTCCACTAAGAGGTACGGAGTTCCTGCTAATTCGCAATGGCCAGTCACTTCGTCTAGGAGATCGGAGTCATTTAGACCCTCGTTATGATCATTATACTTAATAGCTACAATGACCAAACTAGGTCCCAAATCCTGCAGCTCCTTCCTGGCTCCGTTAGGAGTCCAGCGGCCTGTGGCACCAGTGCCCACATCGATGCAATGGATGATTTGATCCTGGAAGGTGTGGGGCTCACTGGTAAAGACAACTATGTGCTTAGGACCGACAGTGGCTCCTAAGTTGGCAACGTTAAGCAGGTTCTCGAGGGCCTTGTCATAGTCCCTTAGTTGGGCGATACCTTTGGTTATCAGCCTCTTCCTCGCCTTGCTTAAAACCGCTAAGGAACCAACAGATCTAAATGCAGTACCTGGATCCTCTGAAGAAATCACCAAACCATCACCACGAACACCACCATCATCATCGTTCATCAAAGTCAAACCCAATTGCTTGCCAATTTCATCATCATCTGACCCTGAATCCGACCAATCAGCCCATCGTTTTCGGGGTCGTTCCTTGGGCTTGAGGTTCGAAGGTCGAGGTGGTGGGGGTGGTTTCCGGGCTGGTTTGTGTTTCTTTGAGACCTCCTTCCACTCCTGTTCTTCTGTTGAAACTTGGGCCTTAACAGCCTAAGCTAAACTAGGAGAGGGCTCAGGTTCTACTGCTTGGGCTCTCGGGGGTTTAGTTTAGGCATGGATTTGGTAGCTGTGGTAGCTCCGGGGCCTTGCTTGAGGACTATAGGCTCGGACCTCGGGCTAGAAACCTTAATCCCCAAAAGCGAGCCATCCCCCTTGTATGCTCCACGCGACTGATCGCGGCACTGCTTCCTCTTGCCCTGGCCTTCGGGCTTGGAAACGGTGAGCCTCACCTGGGGCCCCGGGCCAAAAGTCCCGCAGACCCGGTACTTGGGCGTCCATGGGAGCGTCCCGTAGCATGATTCTGTTTTAGCCACCCTCAAACAGAACGACTGTTTTGAGCCAGTGGCGCAGTGATCGATCACACGTGAACGGGAGCGGCTGCCCATGGCTGCGCGGCCTCCACCAGAACCTTGCGTTGTGCAACAAGGTGTTACCTGCACCTAGGCCTATGGGGCCTTTCCAGCCGTCTCTCTTCTTATCCTCGTGACCTGCGTCATTGAGGTCCCTTTTGATGGCCCCGCGCGAGGTCCATCATGTCGGGGAACGAGAGACCGGCTGCCCAGGAAGTGGCGTCGTCAGGATTGTCGTCAATTCCAGGTACGACACTCAGGGTCTCTTCTTCGATGGCTTCCGTAGTATCGTGACCGTCTCCAAAAGAAGTACTGTAGTCGCCGTCGCCAGAGCTCCCAGGAGCACCACCCTTGCGGATTGGTGTGACAGAACGGACGCCCATTTTGCCTCATCGGAAAAAACCAGATCGAGAACGGCCAGGCGTAGAGCTCCTCGAGATGTAGCCGGTGTCCTCAGACGGTGATCTCCCGCGGGTAGACCGGCCACGACTCGGTACTCCTCGGGGGTCCGCTGCTGGTGGTACCCCGACAAAAACCCGGCCTCCTGCTGTTCTTGAAACCAGTTGTTACACTCCTCGGCCACGCAAGCTTGCCCGTACAAGTCCGATTCTGCTGCTCCAGGTCTGTGTTCCTCAACTCCAAGGCCGCATTGCGGTCCTTGAGCTCCAGAATCTCGCCTTGAAGTTTCTCGAAGGGTGCTTCCGCTCGGATAGCACGGTCTCTCCAGTCCATGTCGTCGCACGGGGGCACAACACGTAAGAGGCTGGCCTACTGTTAGGGGTCCACCAGAACCAGAGCCAGTGCGGCGAAGTGGGCCCGGTGGTACCTTCTCTGGGCTGCTTGTTTGGAGTACTGCTTCTCTTCCTGGCTCCCGCCGGGGACCCTGCACTGCAGGGATTGGTGTGCCGCCACCATGGAGGGTACCCTTCTCACGGGTGACGGCGCGCTGTGTGGGAGGCGGGGTCGGTAGGCGTACCTCGCCATCTGCGGGTCCAGCTGTGCCAGCGCCCGGTTGCCAAGCGCGGTGGCTTCGGCATCATCGAAGTGCCCGCGGCATCTTGCGCACTTGCCGCCGCACTTCATGTCAGCCCAGCTCTCGTTGGCATGGAGATGGCCAACAAAATGGTCCATCCCACGAACGTAGAGCCCCGCACTGATAAGCGTGCCCATGGCTACGCTGCGGTGACGGTTCGACATGCAGAAAGGCAGGATGATCGTTTGCTTGTGCCCCTCGACGGCCTTCTCGATGTCCACGAAGCAGAGAGTCAAGAGGTGACGTCCCGAGCGCGAGTTCAGGATCCCCTCAAGGATTCCTGTGTGGCGACCAGTGCAAGTCCCGAACGCCCCTTCATGGGGGTCGTTCAGCTCCCGCAAGTCGTGCAATCGCACATTAAAGTGTCGAATGCTTGGTGGCAAGGAGTCCACCCATCCATCCTTGCGATGTATGTATCATTCTTCTATCGCGTCCGCGATTATCGAATTGATACCGAGCGCAGCCTGTGAAAATGATGACGTTGGGCCACTCATTCGCGGCTTGCTGAAGTGGACAGACGTGGTGCTGCACAAGCACCCGTTAACCAGTCCCTCATAATCGGGTACTGGTGCCAAAAGGACCATGGCTACCGGCGAAGGTCGGTCTCCCGTACCTTCTCCGGCTTCTCGCCAGGTCCTGTTCGGGTGCGTGGGTCCAGAAGTCGCGCGAGGCTCTGCTGGGGTCCTACACCTCGGGATCTCAGGG